AAGGTTTGTGGGCGGGGGGAAGTGTGGCTGGAGAGAAAGTAAAGGTGTGAGTTCCTGCCTCAACTGCTCCCCTGCAGGCACTCTCCTCTCAGCGGCCCCCATCAGAGCAGGCCCCTGCCCACTTCCCCCTCTGTGCAGTGGCCCCAGAAGCCCCCCTTCTCCACCTCTCACACCTGTGGATCCTTCCACCTCCTTGACCCCCATCCTGCTTCCCCGCTGCTCACAGAGAGCAGTTGTTCCCAGACCTTGACCTCCCAAACTGTCCTGGGTAAAGTACAGCCATGGCCAGAGTTGAACATCAGTCCTACTTCTGGCCACGCGACCCTCTTCTTCCGGAAACCTCAGTGCAGTGTTTGAAGGCATTCACCTCATTGGATGAGGCCCACACACATTATACAAAGTAATCTGCTTTACTCAAAGGCTACAAATTTAAAAGTAATCAGGGGCTTCCCTGGTGGCGCAGTAGTTAGGAGTCCGCCTGCCAATGCAGGGGACACACGTTTGAGCCCTGGTCCAGGAGGATCCCACATGCTGCGGAGCAACTGGGCCCGTGCGCCACAACTGCTGATCCTGCGCTCTGGATCCCGTGTGCCACAACTGCTGAGGCCTGCGCACCTGGAGCCCCTGCTCCGCAGCGGGAGAGCCACCGCAAGGAGAAGCCCACGTACTGCAAAGAAGAGTAGCTCCCGCTCCCAGCAACTAGAGAAAGCCCACGCACAGCAACAAAGACCCAACGCAGCCATATTTATTTTATTTTAACTAAATAAAAATAAAAGTAATCGGGACTTCCCGGGTGGCGCAGTGGATAAGACTCTGCGCTCCCATTGCATGGGGCCCAGGTTCAATCCGTGGTCTAGGGAACTAGATCCCACATGCATGCTGCAACTAAGAGTTCACATGCCGCAACTAAGGAGCCCACGTGCCGCAACGAAGGAGCTGGCAAGCTGCAACTAAGACCCGGTGCAGCCAAATAAATAAATATCCTTTTTTTTTTTTATAAATATCTTTTTAAAAAGGTAATCATATCAAAAAAATACCTTCACAACATCTCAACTGGCATTTGACCAAACAACTGGGCACTGTAGCCTCATCAAGTTGACATTTAAATTTTTTTTTTTTTTTTTTGGCTGCGCTGCACGGCTTGTGGGATCTTAGTTCCCTGACCAGCAAACCTGGGGCCAAGGCAGTGAAAGCACCGAGTCCTAACCACTGGACCACCAGGGAATTCCTGGGAAGTCCCAACATTTAAATCTGGCCATCACACCTATTTATTTCTCTATCTAATCATCTCATTCTTGATATTCTTAACCCTGCTGAGAGATAAGAGGCAACAAGGAAGAATTTATTCCTCCTGTTTATCAGGTGAGTAGACTGACACTCTCCAGGGCCAAGCCCATCACTCCATCACCTTCTAGTTAATACTCTCAGCCCTCCTTGGCCTGAGCCTCTTGTCTCGTCTGCCTGGCAAAACCTCACACAACATCCGACAGACTCGCAGTGGCACTCATTACCCCCCAGGCTCACCGGGCTGTCTCTCTTTTCAGGCAAGTGCCTTTTCTCTCCTGGTAGCTTCCCAACCACCCCTGCATGCTGGGGTTAGGACCCCTCCTCCTTGGCATTGCAAACAGAGCTGGCTTTGAGGGCACAAACTGTGGGTTCCCTGTATAATACCCCTCGTTCTTGTCATGGTGTTTTGGGCACCTCAGGGAGCTCCTTGGACACCAGGCTGTTGAAGGCACGGATGATGGAGTCCCTGGTTGTCTCAGGGAAGGAGTCTGAACCAGCGCTCAGGTCTCCTGACATCTGGTTCAGTACCTTGCCCTCCCGTATAGGATACACCGTCCAGTACAGCTCTACTCCATGCAATCCAACCCGTGTTTCCTGCACACCTCCTTTATTCCTGGCACTGTGCTAGGCACCTGACAAGCAGTTTGTCATTTTACCCTCACAGCAACGCTCTAGGACGGGCATGATTACCTACGTTTGCCAGATGGCATGCTGAGGCTCAAAGAGTGTAACTCTCATAAAGTCACATGGCTCTGGAAAATGGCAGGACTAGGATTCGAACCCAGATCTGCTACTGACTCGAGAGGAGGAACACTCTGCCTCTCTGCAATGCCAAGAGGCCAAGCCACATCCCCAACTAGGGTCTGGGAACAAAGAGATGAGGGAGACGAAGAGCCTGACTTCAAGGGAAGCTCAGGTCTGGTGCAAGAAGTCAGTGTGAAAAGCTTCCTAGGCAAATAACTATCAAGGGTTCCAGGGACTCACATTTTGGGAAATTAGAGGAGATGTGTGAACTGGGCTTAGCTCACTGGGCTGGGGAGGGCAGGAAGGGGGAGAAGAGGGCAGAACATTCTGGGCGTGGGGTGTGCCTGGGGAAGGAGCAATCAGGCTAGAAATCTAGGCCAGGAAAAGTTGTTTCCCACCCCTGAGCAGCTTATATTAAAACCCTGGAGTGGAGCCTGTAATCCAGGTGGGGTTTTCTGAGCAGGTCCCTAACATCACTTCCTCTGCCTCAGCTCAGCTCTGTAACCTGAGCCACGAGCCCTCACCTGGAGGAAGTGGTCCCACCCCTGGAGCTGTTTCCTAATGAAACTGAGGGGGTGGGTGTTAGTGGCTGGTTCTGTGTGGGTGGACCTCACCCAATCAGTTGAAGGCCTTAAAAGAAAAGACTGAGTTTTCCCAAGGAAGAAGGAATTCTGCCTCAGTAATACGGAAACCCTGTCTGAATTTCCAGCCTGCTGCCCTGCAGAATTCAGACTCAAGACTGCAACATTGGGACTTCCCTGGTGGTCCAGTGGGTAAGACTGCGCTCCCAATGCAGGGGGCCCGGATGCGATCCCTGGTCAAGAAACTGGATCCCGCACGCATGCCGCTACTAAGAAGTCCACATGCTGCAACGAAGATCCCACATGCCGCAACTAAGACCCGGCACAGCCAAAATAAATAAATAAATAAACATATTTTTTAAAAAAAGACTGCAACATCCACCTCCAGCCTGCCCTACAGGTTTCGGACTTGCCAGCCTCCACAATCGCGGGAACCAATTCCTTAAAATCTCTCTCTGTATATATAGAGCCTATTGGCTCTATTTTTCTGCAGAACCCTGACTATCCATTTTATCAATCATATTACATCTATAGAATATCGTCTGTTGTATTTATCATAAATACAAGTGACACCTGTGAACCTTTTGTGAGCACTTACTCACAGGCACACAGGTCCCTGTGTGCCAGGCACCTGCTAAGTTCTTCGCAGGTGTCTCATGATACTCTTACTCATCCCAAAGCTCCATGAGGTCATCTGTGATTGGTCCCATTTCACAGACGAGAGGCCCAGAGAGGTCCAGTAACTTGCCCAGGGTTCTAAAGTGATAAAGCAGGATTTGGATCCAGGTAGTTACACTGGGTCCAGTGCCTACGTGGGGTGTGCTCTTATCCACCATGGAACGTGTGTGTAAAGGCATTTCGAAACAAGAAGCGTGACGCAACTGAAAAGTGATGTCATTTTAGTGTTACAGTTACCACTGGGATGGGCAGGGCGAAGGGGGACGGGGCGGGGTGTGAGTTCTGGCTGGAGGGTCCTAGCACCACCGGCTCCTGAAGGTGCAGGCCCGGGAACAGCCACGCGGTGGCGCCAGGCTGCACAGGCCGCTCCAGGATGTGTAGTCCGGGGCTGGGAGCTGGGAGTGATTCCATGGGTCTCCAGGCCTAGCCCTCCACAGGGCTGGTGAGCCCGGGAATCCCCTTCCTCAGGCCTCAGAGGGGTTTCTCTCCAGTCCAGGGATACCAGCGCCAGGGCCAGGGGCCCGGCCTCGGTGGTGCCCATCTGTTTGAGGTACAGTTCGGTGGTCACAGCCTGGGGACTGGGTCCAGCCCAGCCAACTGGCCAGAAGGTCAGCACCCAGCTCCTTCCTGTGCCACTGGTGTGGTCAGGGAAGGAGCGCCCCAGGCCATCAGGTCACCACACAACAGCTCTGGGTGACCCGCCTCCAGAAGTTGCGACGGCGGCTGCTGAGGGCCACCTTGGCCGCCTCCTGGAAGATGGTGTGGACGTTCTCCTGGAGCAGAGCCGAGCACTCGAGGTAGGCCACGGCTCCCACGGCCCGTGCCATCTCCTGGCCCTAACAGGGAGAGTGGACGGGGCCGCCGTCAGGTGGGTGCCGCTGGGGCCTCATGTCCAGCCAACCCCCAGCCCCCTTGGCCATCCTAGGTGCGTCTTCCTAGGACACCCACAGCTCCTGTCCCCTGGCCTGACCAAGCCCATCGATGGCTTCATCGGGTTTCCTGCCTCAGTTCCCGGCTGGGTCTCTGCCTCTCGAGGCATCAACTAATTAACTTCCCGGCCTGACCCAGGCATGCTGCAGAGAGGGGCCTGCAGACTGAAGACCTGGGGGTCCCCCCCCACCCGCTGTGAAGCGGGTAGGCAGGACCATCTGATGTGCACCGCACTCACTCACTCTCCATCCCACAGCTGGAAACTTCCAAGCCCGGCAGTTCTTGACCATGACTGCCTCCAAAACAACCCCTACCCTGACCCACACCCTGCGGGTGCCAGGTGTCTGGCGCTGCTGAGAGGCTGGGCCGGAACAGCGTTACCCCAGGGGCCTCGTCTCCTGGCACCCCTACCCCGTGCCCTGGGCTGGGTTTCCTACCCTGTGGGAGGTCACAGGTTCCAACCTATTTTTCCGCAGCTTCTCCACCAGCGACTTGTCCTTGCGCAGGTCAGTCTTGCAGCCCACGACGATGATGGGCACCTCCTTGCAGAAGTGATTCACCTCCGGGTACCACTGTGGGGAGGGAGGTGGGGAGGGTGTGTGTGTGAGCCATCAGGGGAGTGGGCTGCTCTCCTGCCCTCCAGGTAGACTCCCACAACAATAATCAGCAAAGCCGGTTTAGGGAGAACTACTCTGTGCCAGGCTAAGACTTTACACGTAATGAACACATTAACCCCCCAAGTCCCTATGAAGCAAGTTCTATCATCAATCCCATTGTACCGATGCACTAACTGAGGCTCAGGGACGTTATATAACTTGGCCTTGGTCACACAACTGGAAGTGGCAGAATTTGAACCCAGGGGGTGGCACCCAGAGCCCGGTTCCCACCTGCTCTAGAATCCTACCTCTGCAAGGTAAGGGGTCCCATGACCATCTCCCCAACAGGGTAAAATATATAAAGAAATCAGTGAGGCTTTAAAACTAAAGCCGCTCACAAAATGGTTGCAGCAGCTGTTTGCCTGTTGGAGAGGGCACTCCTGTCCCATGTCAGCTGCTCTTTGGAATGTGAGGCTCCAGGGCCTGGTTATTTCAGTCTGGACTATAACCTGGGAGCCTGGAATCCAGGCTTTAGATCTCCAGCAGCGCATGCCTGCTCAGTTTCAGGAAAAATTGACATCAAACCATCTGGCTTCTGAAGCCAGATGGGGCCGGTGTGCGGTCCCAGCAAATCCTCCCCTCCACAGAACTGCCCTTGAAAAGGGTCTCCTCCCTGACTCCACTTTGCTAAATGCAACAGGGAATCCTCAGACCTCATCCTACCTGAGCCCTGACATCAGCGATCACTCCCTCCTCTGAAACCTGGTCTGCGCTTCACCCCAGGGCCGCGCTCTCCTGGTTGACCCCAGGTCTCCAGGTGACAGCCCCCCTCTCCCCCATGCCGAGTCCACAGCTCTTCCCCACCAGCAACTCCTAAATGGATCTGCCCAGCCTTGCCCCCTCCCAGGAACTGCAGCCTCAGACTTCTGTCTGCCTGCCTGACCCTCCACTGGGATGCCCAACGGGCCTCCATCGCCCACCTCCCTGCCCCCAGCTTGCTCCTTCTCATCTTGGGAAATGGCAAGCCCACCTTCCAGGTGCTCTGATCAAATGGCTCTCTCCTACCCATGTCTAATCCATCTGCAAACGCTGACGGATTGGTTCTGCCTTCCGAACAGATTCAATATCCACTGGCCTCTCACCACCGCCTCTGCTGGCACCCCGGTCCCAGCCACCACTTGCCTGGTCCTTGGTGCCTAGAACAGTACCTGGCACACAGTAAGTTCTCAATAAATGCTGCCATCATCGTTGTGGTTATGGTTACTAATGCTGTCACTGGCTGTGCTCTGAGGAACCCTGGAGCATGCCATTCACATGCGCATGGAGGCCCTGGCAGCATTTGGGGTGGGGCTGTGGCTGCTGGGTAGGAGCAGAGGAACTCAAGGGACCGTTGCCCTGACACCTGTGTGCAGCCTCGGGAACCTCTGAGATAACTGGGGGACATCCTGGGAGGCCGCTAGGAGCCAGCAGTCACACTGATGGAGGCTGAGGGCTGCTGGAAACCGATGGCTCGTGTGACCTTGGGCAGGCCCAGGCTGGGGAGATGCGGGGGCCTCTGGGTCGCCCAGCATCTTCAGGCAGGGTCACGGTAGAAAGAGCCACAGCGTGCTGAGTCTGCAGTATGGGGCAGACAAGGAGCACTGGACCGGGAGTCAGAGGGCCAGTCCAGACCCTGCCACCAAATCCCTGTGGGACCCTGGCTAAGTCTCTCTAGGCCTCAGTTTCCCCATATTTATGCCAAAGGCACTGGATCTGATGCCATCCAGGGCCTGCTGAGCTCTGACAGTCTGCTGGGTCAAGGGTAGGGGTGGAGCAGAGTGGCCCGGCTATGGGGCTGTGCCTGTCTGCCCCCCACCCGCTGTACCCACCCGGTTAGAGATGTTGTCAAAGCTGTATGGGCTGGTGACGTCAAAGCAGAGGAGCAGGACGCTGGCGTCAGGGTAGAACAGGGGCCGCAGGCGGTCATAGTCGACTTGCCCTGGGTAGAATAGGGGTGGTCACTCCCTCCAGATTTCCTGCCCATTGTCAGTACCTCCCCAGCATCAGGGAGGTCACCCCAACCAAGACCAGGGACGGGTGTGGATGGGGATGGTCTGGATCAGGGCCTAGACCTGTGCCTCAGGATCCAACACGTGAATGTCCCCCTCGGGGCTGTGTTCCCCTGGCTGGCCTGTGGGACGTGCCAGCCCTGGCCTGGGCGAGACCACTGCTGAGAGAACCCTGTTCTGGAAGGAGTGGGGGATGTCTGAGGCCATCACTCAGAAGCCTGCTTTGCCCTGGACTTGGGGCGGGGATGGGGGATGAGAAGAAAGAGGCAGGTGGGACTACAGCCCAACCAAGGTAAGGGGGCTGCTGGGATTCCCAGAGTTTAGCTTTGAGTTCTGATGTAGATTTGACTCTGAACCCTCTTATGGGCTAGGTCAGGAGGCTAGAGGGCAGAGGTCACATTCAAACAGACCTTACAGAAGCTAAAGCCAGGGTGGACCGCTCAGGAGGCCAGAAACAGTCCACCCCTTGGGAGCTAAGAGCTCCGATTCATCTCCAGGACATGGTGGGCTGCTCTGGGCTGGGGAAGCAGCAAACACAGATGCCGAAGCGAGGAGGGTTCAGGCTCCCGGGGGCCCTAATCCTGGCCAACACCTGTTCCCTGGAGACTGGTTGGCCTCCCTGGTTCGGAAGGAAGGGAGTGGGTCCCTTCCTCCCACTCTGTCCCTCCCCCAGCCTGGCACCCACCTGCTGTGTCCCAGATTTGAAGGTGCACAGGTTTGCCCTTCACGTGCAGATTCACGGTGAGCTGCTCGAATGCCGTGGGGGTGTAGCTCTGAGGAAGAAGGGGTCAAGGGGGCAGCTGAGAAGGAGGCATCTGAAGCGGGTGGTCACAGTGCCCAGGCCAGAGCCCAGGAGTGCCCGCGGCACTGCCGCTCTTTGGAGTAGTTTGGAGCAGAGTGGAGTAGTTTCTGGGGGGGAGTCGGCTGGTGGGTGGAGGCCTAGAGCTGCCACTCTGTAGCTGTGCACCCTCCCAAGGCACTGAGCCTCCCTGGCCTCCTCTGTGCCTAAAAAGTGGGTCTATTAAAGCCCCCAGCACAGCATGTTGCTGAAAGGATTCAAGGAGGCGCTTCATGCCGAGCCCTGAGCACAGGGCCTGGTAGAAAATAAGCACTCTACACGTGCCAGGACTGTTATTTTTATCTCTGTCCTCGTCCAGACTGTCCCACTTCTGAGCCTTCCTTCCTGCCGTCCCCTCCTCCTGGAATGACATTAACCTATGTTTGTTCATTCACTCACTTACTCATTCATTCATTCATTCATTCATGAGCACCCTCTCTGGATCCGATTCTGGACACCCGGGAGCAACTAATAAAGACTCATTGCCTGCCCTGGGGAGCTCCTAGCTTTTGGGGGCCCCTCCTTTGCCTCTCAACGTTTCACAATCCAACCAGGATGCCCCTGTTTCTGTCTCTCTTACCTGCCCTGCCTGGCCCCAGGGGGAGGTCACTCAGGCCAGAGGCCCCTCTACCCCAGGCCTGCTGAGTCTGAGCTCACCCTGTCTCCACAAAGGCTGGATGAATGGAAGCAGGACGGGCTTTTACACAAGTGCAGGAATGAAGAGGGGGAGCTTTTACAGACAGGGTCTGAGCAACAGGGGAGAAGGTTTTCAAAACCCTGCCACGACACAAGCCCTTTGCACCAAGGGGCATGCTGGACCGCCTGCATCTTGGGTGCCCAGGCTTCGCTCCCTTGCTCAGGGCTGGGTGGGGGGACCACAGACGGGGGGACACTGTGGGGCCCTGTGCCCTGAGGCAAGACTCTTCTCTCTGGCCTCAGTTTTCCCATCTGTAAAATGAAGGCCTTGTCAGCTCTCAAACCTTGTGTTTCTTTTAAATGAAGAGGTCTCTTGGGAATTCCCTGGCGGTCCAGTGGTTAGGACCCTGTGCTTTCTGTGCCGGGGCCTGGGTTCGAAACCTGATCGGGGAACTAAGATCCCGCAAGCCAGGCAGTGCCCAGAGAAATAAATAGATAGATAGATAGATAAATAAATAAATAAATAAATAAATAAATAAATAAATAAATAAATAAATGGAGAGGTGTCTCTTGTGCCTGGAGGCAGACAGGTCCCAGGAAATCAGGGTTCCTAAACAGGAGAGGAGCCTAGACAAGGCAGGTCCAGTCCTCTGGTGACAGGCATGTTCTTCTCCCTTTGCCTTCAGAGTGTCCTTCACCATATGCACTGTCTGGACTTCCCTGGTGGCGCAGCGGTTAAGAATCCGCCTGCCAATGCAGGGGACACAGGTTTGAGCCCTGGTCCAGGAAAATCCCACATGCCGCGGAGCAACTAAGCCCGTGTGCCACAACTACCAAGCCTGCGCTCTAGAGCCCATGAGCCACAACTATTGAAGCCCGTGCGCCTAGAGCCCGTGCTCTGCAACAAGAGAAGCCACCGCCAGGAGAAGCCCGCGCACCACAACGAAGAGTAGCCCCCACTCGCTGCAACTAGAGAAAGCCTGCGTGCAGCAACAAAGACCCAACGCAGCCAAAAAAAATAATAATAATAAATTAATGAATTATTTTAAAATTGTGAAAAACACACACTGTCCATCAACTGTGAGACGCCCATTTCAGCACTGTAACCTCTCTGCAGTTGGGATGGGCCTCACTCTCAAGGCCATCTCAGAGCCCAGGACAGTGGTGGTGAGGGACCACCCCTCCCAGCACTGTTTCTGGGCCCCGGCTGGCCTAGCCTCTCTGTGGCACTCTGTGGTGCTCCCCGCACTGCCATAATTGTTGGGTTCTAACAGGCAGCATCTGGGGGCCTGGAAACACATCCCTCCCCCCAGCTAAAAAAAATGTGACTGGCCAAAGGATGTGACATCAGCTCCAAAAACCACAAAGCAAGAGTCGGCTCGATGCTGCCATAGTGGAAAGAAAGGCTGACTCTGGGTTAGCAGGCCCGGCTGCTCCTGCCTCCCGCATCCAACCCCCGAGTGCTGTACCACCCTAGGGCTTTGGCGGGGGCTGGGATCATCAGGCAGGGGGACGTGATGCTGGAAGCAGAGCCATGCATGGATTCCCAGGGGAACTGGGCTGAGTGGGGCACGGTGGGTGGGTGTGTCCAGCCCGTCCTGGTACCGGTGAGTCCGCTAGGACAGGCAGTAGGCATGTCGGTGAAGGAGTGACAGTCCACATGCTCAGGCGTCAAGGACATGCCAGGTACTCGGGGCCGTCTCTCAGCCTTGCCTTCCACCTCACCACCACCCTCGGGTCTCTCCACCCGGCGAGGTCGAGTGAGGGGTCGGAGGCTCACAGAGGCTGAGCAAAGTACTGAGGGCCCCAGAGTTTGTTGGAGGAGACTGAGGTGCTAACCCAGCTGTCTGAGCGGCTGGTGTGCTCTTACTCTCCAAGGCTGAGCCCACGGGACATCCACTGTAGGGGCAAGAGCTGGGGGAAGACACGATGCCTCCCAAGAAAAAGGCTGGCCACTTTTCAGTGAGTCCTTCCTGTTGCAGCTCAGAGCTGAGCCCCTGACCTGTATGAACTCTCTCATCACTGCGACCCTGGGAGGTGGGCGCCACGGTTATTCCTATTAAGCAGTTAAGGAAACAGGCACAGAGAGGGTAAGCGGCTTGCCCCAGGGCGCACAGCTGTAAGTCGCAAAGCCGTGATTCGAAGCCAAGGCTGTCCGTCCCACTTAGCCATGCTGTGCCACCAAGTGCTCTCTTAGGACTCGCTATGTTCCACAGGCTGCCTAAGTCAGTCCCCGGGACACCTCCCCCGGGTAGGTGGCATTCTTGGCACTTGACAGGCGATGTCACTCCCGCGGGCAAAGTGAGAACTGCCTTCGACCCCACGCTCTGCGGGGAGGCAGAACGGGCGCACTTCCCTCCCGGAGTGGGGAAGGATGCACCCAGGCCGCGGCGCCCCGTTGAGCCCGAGGGGCCGGCACTCACCTCGGGAAAGGCGCCCTCGGCGAAGACCATCAGCAGCGACGTCTTCCCGCAGCCGCCGTCGCCCACCAGGACCACCTTGACGGACCGCGCGCCGGGCGGCGCCTCCTCGCCTGCGGCCTGGGCCGCCTTCATCGTGAGGCAGCGGAGGGAGGGCCGGGCGCGAGCGGAGCGGCGGCCTCGGGGCCGGCGGGGCAGGAATGTGGAAGGGGCGGGGCGGGGCGGGGCGGGGCGGAGCGGGGCGGGGCGAGGAAGTGCGGGCGGCGGCTGGCGGCTCAGGTGAGGGGCCGGGCGGATTCCGTAGCCTGGCGCCGGCTCGGCCCTGCCCCTCCCGTCCCAGGTCCCAAGTCCCAGGCTGCCCGAGGAAGACACACCTCTGTGTGGGGCGCTAGGTCACAGGAGTGGGCACCGAGACTCGGCCTCCGTCCTCAGGAGCGCACCCTGGTCTGATGGGGAGCAGACACGTAGCTGGGCAGTGATGGTGTGGACGGGGAAAGAGGAGCGTCCTGGCCCCCTTCCCCGGGAGAAGGGAGGTGGGGGTCAGCCCTGCTGGCCCACTAGCTTGCTGGGGACAGGGACTGGGTACCTGGTGCCCAGCCTAGGCGGGGCACCCAGCAGGAGCTGGTGACTTTTGATGGATGAATGAATGAGTGAATGAATGAATGTGCATTTCCCCAGGGCTCTGGAGAAGCCCTCCACACCACGGCCTCCCTACAGGTGTTTCAGGGCAGGTGGGAAGGGGGAGATCCGGCAGGCCTTTATTCGTTAGTCACTGGCACTGCCAGCTGGGCCTGCCCTCCCCCAGCCAGCACCAGGAAGTCTCACTACAGGCGGGTCTCACCTCTGCCTCGGTCATGGTCTGGAGAAAGCGATGGAACCTTCCATCTGTCAAGCGCTTAGAGTAGGGTCTGGTACGTGGTTGGTGATGCCATGTGTGAGTGATTCTTATAATTTAACCAACACTGATGGCCCCCTGTGCCCACGGACCTGGGGACCCTGAACCGTTGAAGTCAAAGTCTCCCACGGCCTAGAATGGGAGACAGGCAGGACATCACTGTGATAAGAGCTACAACAGTGGGGGGGACAGGCAGCGGATGGGAGTCGGGAAGAGGGGCTCCTCACCAGGGTTGGGGGTGGTCAGGAAACCCTTCTGAGAAAAGGCGCCAGAGTCTGCAGGAAAAAGTGAGACACAGTTAGATAGTGGAAGGATAAAAGGTTCCAAACGGAGGCAACAGCACATGCAAGGTATGGAGGTAAGGGGGAGGGGGGGATCCTTTGCCGGGGGTTGGGGGGCGTGGTGTGGTTCTTCCCTGTGATGATGGTGAGGTTGGCTTGGGGAGTTGGTGCAGGGGGTGAGGCTGAGGGTTAATTAGGGCCTGGAGAGTGAAGCACTTTGGACGCCAGGAATAAAGACAGAATTGAACTGGAAACTCACTGTCACCTGACCTCCCACCCCTGTTAGTAGCCAGAGTCAAAACATGTATTTAAAAAATGGGCACAAGGGCCCCCCAGATCTTGGACTGTTTTCACTGAAGCTCAGACAAACAGAGGGCAGAAGTTTTGGGGTTTCACACCCTTCCCCACACAGGTCATGACATCATTCCTCATGGAGTTCCAAGCCAGGCAGGTGAAAAACCACCCTCAGCCCCCTTTAAACCTCACTGTGGCCCAAAGAGGCAGCCAGGGCAAGAGTAACGGCCCCTACTGCACAGAGGCAGAGCCCAGACCCCTGACTCCCATTCCAGGCTCACCCAGGGCCACAGTCAGCAGGCTGAATGAAGCCTCACCTGGATGGAGGGAGTGCCCCAGGACATCCCCAACCTTTAGGCCCCTTCCTCCCCAAAACCACCAAAGGGCTGGGCAGTGACCTGGCACCAGGCTGTGTGTGTAGCCACTGATCAGGACTCCCCGCCCCAAGGAGTGGTGGGGAGGGACCCCATTCCCCAGCGATCAGCTGTCAGCCTCGTCATCCCCTAGTCTCTCCACTACTGCTGTCATCAGGCTTTGGGTGGTAAGGCTGGGAGGCAGGTGGGGTCAGACCAGGGGTGGAGGGAGCTAAGAGTCAGACAGAGGCTTTTGGCCTCGGTTACTATGGGGATAATCACTCTAATGACACTCCTGATGTGCGTCATGCTTCAGAGTTTCACTGAACATTTCCTAATAGTAACAGCTCTCATTAATGGATTGCCAACTGAGTGGAGGCACTGTCCCCAAGCAGGTGGGAAGTGTTAGCCCTGGTTTACAGATGGGACACTTGAGGCCCAGGGAGGTTTAAGCTCTTGTCTAAGATTCACAGCTAGCAAGAGGCAGAGCTCTGAGTTTGAACCCAGGTCTGGCGACAAAGCTGGGCTGTCTCCCAACATCACACCTCATGTGCATTATTTCATTTAGTGCTCAGACTGTGAGCTGGGCAGAGTGGGTGATCGGGAGCTGAGGCTCAGAGAAAGGCATTGGCTACAGATTTGGGAGCTGAGGCTCAGAGAAAGGCATTGGCTTGTGGCAGGCTAGCACGACCCAGAGCCAGGATTTCAACCCAGGTCTCCTGATGTTAAACCCAGCCTCACTCCCACTCTGCGCTCCTGATTCTGTGAGAGGGAGATTAGTCACTGGGCTGGGGAAATCTGCCTTGGTTGGCAGGGAATTTCTCCAAATCTCAGACATTGCCAGGCCCTGGACGGCACCGTTTTCCTGGAGTTTATTTTGGAGTGGGGAGGCGGCCCAAGTCACAGTCTGCCTGGTCAGGATACTGTTTACTGTCTTACTGTTTTCTGTGGCTGCTGGTCACTACCAGCTTGTGGGTGACTCATCCCCTTGAGGCCCCACCAGTCCCAGGTCCAGAGTCCTTCAGCACCCTGCTCAGCGGGTCACTGCCCTGCAGACCCCAGGCCCTCGGCCTGAGGTGGAATCCCCTCCTCCAGATATAGGTGGCCAGGCAGGATCTTCCAGTCCCCAGCCAAGCCTTGAGCACCTCCAGGGCAGGGGCCGAGTCCCACCTATCTCTCTATCCCAGACAGGAGTGCCTGCCCCAGGCTGGCATCCAGCTGTGGCTCAGGATGTTATGTCCAGTTCACTGGCTGGACAAACAAGGAAAAGGAAGGAAAATGAAGGAGCAAGGG